AAGTCACCTCACCCTCGTCCCAGCGAGTCCCTCCTCTCCCCTCATCCACGTCCCAGCAGCCCCTCCCCTCACCATCGTCCCAGCAGCCCCCGCCCCCGTCCCTCACCCACCGTCAGCAGCCCCTCCCCCTCTCCTCACCACCGCTTCCCAGCTAGGCCTCCCCCTCTCCTCCGCCCTTCGTCCCAGCACCGAATGGTCGCTTTCACACAAAACACAGACCTTGGCCGCAGAGGCGAGCAACCGTAGTGCCTGTGCCATAAAAACGAGCTTAAAAGTGTTAAAAATAAACACGTGCTAATGCAGAGTCGCTGTCCCCGCGGCTACGTCGCCATTCACGCGAGGGCATTTGCTGTGCTATCTCCCCGTCCCCCAACTTCTCGCTCTCTCTCTCTCACTCTCTTCTTCTCTCACTCTCTCTCTCTCTCTCTCTCTCTTCTCTTATCTCTCTCTCTCCTCTCTCTATCTCTCTCTCTCCCTCTCTCTCGTCCCCTCTCTCTCTCTCCCTCTCTCTTTCTCTTCACTTCTCTCTCTTTTAGTCTTTCTCTCTCTCTTCTCTCTCTCTCTCTCTCTCTCGCACGCTCTCTCAGTCCACGTCTCGCTGTGCTACGCTCTCTCGCTCTCCTTCGCTCGCTATCATCCTCTCCCCCCCCTCTCTCTCTCTATCTATCTCTGCTTCTCTCTCTTCTCTCTCCTCTCTATTATATATATATATATATATTTTAGTATATATGTCTGCTCTTCCTCTCATTTCTTTTCTCTCTCTTTCTGTCTGTCTGCTCTATTTTAGATCTTAGTCATTCTCTCTCTGCTTGCTCGCTCTCGTTTCGCCCTCTCTCCCTCTCCCTGTCTCTAATTTTTCTCTTTCTCTCTGTCTGTACTGTTCTATTTTATTATTTCCTATTCTCTCTGTCTTTTTTCGCTGTGTTATGTCTCTCTCTCTTTCTCTCCCTCCCTCCCTGTCTCTATCGTCTCGCTCTTGTCTGGCGATTTTACTTCTCTCTTATTCCTTCTCGTTCTCCATTTTCTCTCTCTCTCATCTCTCTTCTCTCTCTCTCTCTCTCGTCTCTCTCTCTCTCTCTGCTCTTCTCCTTCACTCTCTTTTCTCATTCTCTCTCTCCTCTCTTTTTCTTTCTACTCTCACTTCTCTTTCTCATTCTCTTCTCTCTCTCTCTCTCTCTCTCTCTCTTCTCTCCCCTTTCTCTGCCGCCTCCCCTACTACGTGCCGCCGCCCACTTACAGCTGACGACTTTGCGGCAAGCGGGCCGACATAATACAACTGTAGTTGATGTCTTGGCGATGTCGAACGATGCGAGCCTCGTCTCAGATCTGTTTCGTGACACTACCAGGCGTGCCGGCGCCGGCTGCGGCGACACAGAGCGAAGAAGGAAAGAAGTATAACAAACTCAGGCGGCCCGTCTTACAGCTAAGGTTATGAGATTTGTTGTGCCACGGTCATTATTGTACGTTGCCTTGTGTGCTTACCGTGCGCGCGGCTTCATGCCTCTGTGGTGCGGGCACGGCCCGTGCGTGCCGTGCGTGTCTGTGTATGTTTATGTACGTGTTACACACAGCGTAACATCTATTGATCCTGGTAGGTGCTATGATATAACTAATTTGCTGGGTTGTTAATTTCATTCACACGCGCGCGTCGCAGGACTGCTATGTTGATATTTTTCTAAAATGGAGTTAATGCTTTATGTGTCTACGATCTATTCCTCGATCAAGTTCACATTACATCAGCCTGAACGGTCACACAGGTTACAGGTCTGACTTGGCCGTTTTTGTCAGCTCAAACAGTTGTAGACAAACGTCACACACACACACACACACACTGCCACGCACGCACGCAGCACGCATGCATACGCACGCACGCACGCCGCACGCACGCATCACACAACACACACACACACAAACACACACACACACACAACACACCACACACACACTAGCGCGGGCGGCGCGCACACGAGCATCACACACACGCGCACACACACACAACACACACACACACTACACCACACACACACAGCGGCCGCACGCACGCACGCACGCACGCACGCACACACACACACACACACACACACACACATGTGTATATATATAGTGCAGAAAACCGCTATGCAAAACCAACAAGTATCTATATAGTGGGTTGTTGAGACAGGTTAGCGCTAACGTGAGAAGACGCACCGCAGACGTTATCTGTCGCAGACAGCAATAGCGAACGAGATCGGTTATTTAGCGAGGGCCGGGATAAGATTAGATCTGTTCATATACATGAGGTCCGAAGTGAATAAAAACACATTTTTGATTCATATTCACTCCTGATGAGATCTTAATCACGAATAACGTCTCAATCACAGACGGTTTGTTATTCACTGCCATTGCTAACATGCTGCTGCTACTGCTGCTGCTACTATTGCTCCTGCTGCTGCTACTATTGCTCCTGCTACTGCCACTGCTGCCACTGCCACTGTTGCTGCTGCTGCCGCTGCCGCCGCTGCTGCTGCTGCTGCGGCGACTACTACTACTACTACTACTACTACTATTACTGCTGCTACTGCTGCTACTGCTGCTACTGCTGCTACTGCTGCTACTGCTGCTGGTGATGATTCTGCTACTGCCGCTGCTGCTGCTGCTGCTGGTGGTGGTGCTGCTACTGCTGCTGCTGCTGCCATTGCTAGCACGCTGCTCCTGTTGCTGCTACTGCTGCTGCTGCTGGTTCTGCTACTGCTGCGCGCGCGCTGATACTACTGCTACTGCTGCTGCCCTGCTGCTACTGCTGTTGCTACTACTATTGCTCCTGCTATACTAACACTGCTGCCACTGCCACTGCTGCTGCTGCTGCCCTGCTGCTGCTGCTGCTGCTACTGCTGCTGCTCCTGCTGCTACTGCTGCTGCTACTACTGCTGCTCCTGCTGCTACGTACTGCTCCTGCTCTTGCTGCCGCCGCCGCCGCCGCCGCTGCCATCGCCGCTGCTGCTGCCCTGCTGCTACTGCTGCTGCTACTGCTGCTGCTCCTACTGCTACTGCTGCTGCTACTAGGGCCCTACTGCTGCTACTGCTGCTGCTACTACTACTGCTGCTGCTGCTGCTACTACTACTACTGCTACTACTACTGCTGCTGCTGCTGCTGCTGCTACTGCTGCTACTGCTGCTGCTACTACTACTGCTGCTGCTGCTGCTACTACTACCTCTGCTGCTGCTACTGCTGCTACTGCTGCTGCTGCTACTGCTACTACTACTACTGCGGTTACTGTTGCTACTGCTGCTGGTGATGGTTCTGCTACTGCTAGTGCTGCTGCTGTTACTGCTGCTGCTACTGCTGCTGCTATTACTTTTATTACTGCTGCTACTTTAGCTGTTGCTGCTACCGCTACTGCTACTACTACTACTTTTAATTGCTACTACTACTGCTACGCTGCTGCTACTACTGCTACGCTGCTGCTACTGTCCTTGCTGCTACTGCTACTGCTGCTGCTGCTGCGGCGGCTTCGGTTGCTGCTGCTATGTGTGGGAATTTAAGGCCCTTGCCAGTACGTAAAAGTTTTTAACGAGGCGTTTTATTGCAAAAACATGTCATCTTTGCCGTCCGTCCGTAGATTACACGGGATCGCAACTACAAATGGCCATTTACGACTTAATTGCAGGTATTTTCCCGTAGTTATGGCATCGATGACCCGTGGAAACCTAGCAGCGAGTGCCGCGGGGCGTTTTGTGTTTTATTTACGATGCTGTAGAAGCAGCGCCATCTACAGTGTCATTTCCTAACCCAACCCGAAAATTATTTATAAAAATGAGATTCTGGTCGACAGAATTTAGGACAAGACGCCAAGAGACTTTTTTAATCGAGTGTTATTTATTAATGTTGACTATAGATGGCGCACATCTGCAGCTTCAGGTTAATTGGACGCGCTAGCTCGGGCCTATATATCACAGGCACTTGAAGCGTTTCAATAAAATATATACGCAGGGGTCGTGTGCTGTGCACGGCGACAGTTAAATATATAGCATATATTTAACTGTCGCCGTGCACAGCACACGACCCCTGCGTATATATTTTATTGAAACGCTTCAAGTGCCTGTGCTATATATGATGTCTCTTCTATTTTCTGCACGCGCCATCCCTGAGATATTTAATTCATTTTATGTTATTATAGGCTAAGTGCCTATTTGAGATAAAGAGTTAGAGTTAGGGCATGTGTAAGGTGTGTAGTTTCTCATTTGTACTATGTATAGGGTTCTGCTTGCCAGCCCGACCACATATAGCTGCGCACATAAAGCTAATCCCCGAACGCATTCCACTTTCCCCCTCAAGCCCAAGTCCTTCTTAACCACACACGAAAAAAATGTATTTAGGTAATGTGACCCGATATAAGCGGTTTCCGTTGGTCGGTGGATCACTGCGTATACGTACATCTTCCTCGCGGTATGGTGGGTGGCTGGAGGTTTAAGCCACATATGTATTCCCACTGTGGAGTCGTGGGTGGCAGGATAACTGGTGGCGTAGGCGGTGGTTAAGGCATAGAGGGACGGGTGAGGGTCGTAGGATTGCATACTTGCGGGGCACGCGTATCCAACTATATATATATACTATATCACCGCGGCTAGATAAGAGTGCACGTTGTTTACGGCTTCAAATAATACCATGGCTGCTCGATAATCGATGCAACTCCCCAATCTGAACACCGACTGCATTGTCCGAGAATCAAACAGCGTCTTGATTGCACAGCTGAGCTTCCATTATATGATAAGAAATAGTTCTAATTAAGAATAAGAAGAGGTGTGTCCAGAAAAAGCAGGCCTCAATACGCATCACACAAACGTTGTCTGACGTCACAGTGCTTCCCTTACATCCGCGAACCATAGATAATAAAACCACATTAGGGCAAATAGGACAGGCGAGTAGGAAGGAAAATATGTAAAACTAGTATTCCTATGCTTTGAACCGTCATTTTTCTCCATAATTTGTTTTCATGTCCCGCCGGAATTCTCTTTCGCAGACGAATGCAGTCTCGGAACACATAAGTGCGACGCTAACGCCCTCTGTAAGAACACGAGGAAGAACTATCGTTGCACGTGCTTTCCAGGATTCAGAGGGAACGGTCTACAATGCACGGGTGCGTATGTCCTTAGGAAACTTGTGTGCTAAATAGGTTATAAGACATCCCTCCCCGCAACACATACGCCCCTAGCCTCTATCCTCTCTATTTTTAGTCTCTCTCCTTCTCTCCCTCTCTCTCTTTCTCGGTGTCTCTCTCCTTCTCTCTCTCTCTCTCTCTTCTCTTTTTCTCGTAACGCTCAGCTGAACAGCAACGTGTGATATAGCGATGGTAACAGTAGTGGCGCGCGGCGGATACATGCCGTGCCCTACGTACGGAGGCGGCTAGCTGAGACATAGCCAGCGGTGTAGCAACCAGGCAGCACAGCGACCTGTGAGTGTGAACAATCCGCTGCTCACGTGTGAGTGTGTGTGTGAGTGTGTGATTGCTCGTCGGCGCTGTTCGGTCGTTGGGAGTATCTAGTCGGCGATGGAAAGGAAGCGAATTGGTGACTGCTATACGTGCATTCTCGGTCACTAACTACGGTGTAATGTAACAATTGGCACCGGAGTGGTGCCATGCTCGTGGCGATGGTAGTGCGTGATACTGGGCTTATCGTGTGACACGGTAATCGTGTGTGATATACTGCGGTTTTTGTGCGGCGCGGTGCTTGTGTGTGTGTGACATACCGTGGTGATTGTATAGCACGGTGCTTGTGTGTGTGACATAGCGGTGGGATACGGTTCTGGTGTGATTTTGTCACCTCAGTGTGCTACAGTTGATATTGCCGATAACGTGTGCTATCGTTGTCGGTGCTAGATACGATTGGAGTAGGGTTATACTAATACCGATACAAGCAAACTTGTCGTCTGATGTGGTTGTCATACGACATTGCAGTCGGCGTGGTGTGTGACACGGTCAACAGCGTGCAATAGACGACCTACGTATTGTCGACATCGTGCGATATTGTTAGCAGTGTTCAATACGACTGCAAGTAGCGAGTATAGTTGTAGAGAGGATGACCGCCTGACGCTGTCGTCGTGTGACCGTGACGAGTCCCAGTGTGCAGCGCATGACAACGCCGGTCCCGTGCGACACGACCGACGTCTGCTAGTACTGTTGACGTCGTCGTGTGCGCGCCGACGATGACGTCACGCCGTCGGGTGCTGTACCTGCTCGCTGTCTCCGTATTTCTGCTGGCGGCGGGAGCGGACGGGCGACGGCAGCGCCGCCCGCGGCAACGCGACCACCGGAACCGAGGTACGTGCGATCGCGTCTCTCACCGACGTTACAGCAGCACTTCCGGTATTCAAAAGGTCACGGCGACGGAATGTGTGTGCATATACGTCTATGTGGTAGATATAGCGCGCGTAGACGGGAGATGGGCGCGATTGCTATGCATGGTTCGCAATGCCGCAGCGCAAAGACGCGCAATGCTGTGAGATTTACGCTGTGTTCCAAGAACTGGCCATGGTTGGAATACCATGCTACAGCTCTGCCCACATACACACGCGCACACACACGCACGCACGCACACACACACACACACACACACACACGCACGCACGCACGACAACCACATACCAACAGCACGCACGCAACAGAAACCACACACACATCACACACCGGACGCTGCGCGCACGCACGCACCCACACACACACGCCACACACACACACGCGCGCGCGCACACACACACCACACACAACACACACACACAACACACACACACACAGCGCGCGCACGCACACGCACATACATGGTTTTGAGCTAGGCAGATGCTTCCCACGCTTCGACTTCGCGTTTATGGGTTTGCTACGCCCGGAGCGCCGCTGTGAAATCACTGCTCCTACCGCCTGCTACTACTGCTGCTACAACAACAACTACTACTATTACTACTACTACTACAACTACTACTAATAATACTAATACTGCCATTACTGCTGCTACTGCTTCTGCTAGGTGGGCATATGTTTCCATGAAACAGAGTATCCGCGTGACGTCAGTGTACGTCACGCACGAACTCGGCTATCTCCGAAGTTGAATGCACGCAGCCTGCTGATGGTGCTGGTGGTTGCGCATGGTCATATTCCATACTACCAGGAGCTTGATACTACGCATATCAACTTCCTCATCAGACTTTCCGTATATCAAGGAATGATGCAAGCACCCTAACCCTAACCCTAACCCCAGCCCTAACCCTAACCCTAACACTAACTATAAACCGACTCGGCTATTCTTATATACGCGTGTCATACGCGCCGGATACTCTGTTTCATAGAAACATTATGCCCACCCTTCTGCTACTGCCACTGCTGGTGCTGCTGCTGTTGCTACTGATAGTGCTGCTGCTGCTGCTGCTGCTATAGCTCTAGTATTATAGCCTGCGTACAGTTTCGCAGGCCAGTAGAGCTGCTGCTGCCTACTACTACTACTACTAGCACGACTACTACTACTACTACTATACTACTACTACTACATACTTACTACTACTACTACTACTACTACTACTACTACTTACTACTACTACTACTTTACTCTACTACTACTACTTACTACTTACCTACTCACTAACTACTACTACTACCCACTCTACTACTACTACTTACTTACTACGACTCTACCTACCTATCTTACTACTGGTACTGGTACTCGCTACTACCTACTACTACTACTTACTACTACAACTACATACTACTAACTACTACTACTACTTACTACTTACTACATTACTATGTACTACTACTACTTATACTACTCTACTACTACTGACTACTACTCACTACACTCACTACTACTACTACTACTACTTACTACTACTCACTACTGACTACTAACTTACTCAAACATGTACTACTAGGTATACTACTACTACTATACTACTACTACTTACTTACTACTGACTCTACTACAATCTACTACTACTACTACTACTACTTACTATACTGACTACTGACTACTACTACTACTACTATACTTATACTACTACTACTACTACTTACTTATCTACTTACTAGCTTACTACTACTGTACTAAATAACTTACTACTACTCTACTACTAAGCTACAAATACTACTACTACTACTTTAGACTTATCTACTACTACTACAACGTACTACTAGACTTACTATACTACTACTACTACTACTACTACTACTACGACTACTACAACTTACTACTCGGACGCTGCCTGCTGCTGTCGTGTGACTTGCTACAGGAGATGGATGCTAGCATCACGAATGGTCGTTCGTTTGTTTCGGGTCTTTGGTTTGAGCTTACTGTACGCGCGTGAATTTCGTTCGTTTCGTTCGTTTGTTATTTTGTTAATTCGTTCGTTCGTTCGTTTGTTCGTCCGTCTGTTTTCTTACATCCATTTTACGGCATTTTCTGTTTTCCAATTTCGCCCAAGTTTAATCATTTTTTTCATTTTCCTATTCTCTCGTTTCTTATCGCCGCCCTTAACGCACGTTCGCTTTTCTTCTCTTGATCTGAATATTTTGCATTCATACATTGTATCAGCGCCAGCATCAAGCGCCCTAAGCAAGTGCGACAGCAGCAGCAGCCAGTAGCGAGTAGCTAGTAGCATTCCAGCACACCACCACCACCACCCACCAGCAGCAGGCGCAGCGCAGCAGCAGCAGCACAGCAGCAGCAGTAGCTAGTAGTAGCTAGTAGTAAGTAGTCAGTAGTACTTAAGTAGTTCAGTAAGTTAGCTAGTAGTAGTAGCTAGTATAGTAGGTGTAGTAGTAGTATCAGTTAGTATAGTAGTAGATTAGTAGTATAGTAGTATAGTTGTAAGTAGTAGTGTTACGTAGTAGTAGGAGTATACGTAGCAGCAGTAGTAGTAGCAGTAGCTAGCAGCAGCAGCTATTAGCCAGGCAGCAAGCGCAGTCAGGCAGTAGTAGCAGCAGCAACAGCACACTATCGCTTCTCATAGTTACGCTCAGCGCGTAAAGCTAGGCCAGGACACACCACCGTAGACGTTCACGCGCACAGCGTCAGCAGCCCCCCGTCCCCCTCCCCTTCACCCTCGTCTCAGCATCCCCCCGCTCCCTTTCCCTCTAGCCTCGGTCCCAGCAAGCTCCCCCCCCCTCCACCTCCACCATTGTCCCAGCATCCCCCTTTCCCTCCCCCTCCCCTCATCTCTTGCTGTCCAGCAGCCCCTCTCCTCCCTTCGATCCATCGTCCAGCCCAGCTCCCCCTCCCCCTCCACCATCGGTCCCAGCATCCCCACTCTCCCTCCTCCTCCTCTCACCCTCGTCTCAGCAGCCCCCTTCCCCCTCCCCTCATTCACGTCCAGCAGATCACCTCCCCCTGCCCCTCACCCTCGTCTCAGCAAGTCACCTCCCCTCGTTCCCAGCGAGTCCCTCCTCTCCCCTCATTCACGTTCCCCAGCAGCCCCTCCCCTCACCATCGTCCAGCAGCCCCCGCCCCCGCTCCCTCACCCACCGTCAGCAGCCCCTCCCCTCTCCTCACCACGCGCTTCCCAGCCAGCCCTCCCCCTCTCCTCCGCCCTCGTCCCAGCACCGATGGTCGTTTCACACAAACACAGGACCTTGGCCGAGAGCGAGCGAACCGTAGGTGCCTGTGCCAATAAAAACGAGCCTTAAAAGTTTAAAAATAAACACGTGCTAATGCGAGTCGCTGCATCCCCGGGCTCGTCGCATTCACGCGAGGGCATTTGCTGCCTGCTATCTCCCCGTCCCCACTTCTCGCTCTCTCTCTCTCACTCTCTCTTCTCTCACTCTCTCTCTCTCTCTCTCTCTCTCTCTATCTCTCTCTCTCTCTCTCTCTCTCTCTCTCTCTCCCTCTCTCTCTCCCCTCTCTCTCTCCCCTCTCTCTTTCTCTTCACTTGCTCTTCTTTTAGTCTTCTCTCTCTCTCTCTCCTCTCTTCTCTCTCTCTCGCACGCCTCTCTCAGTCCATGTCCGCGTGTACGCTCTCTCGCTCTCTTTTCGCTCGCTATCATCTCTCCCCCCCCCTCTCTCTCTCTATCTATCTCTGCTTCTCTCTTCGTTCTCTCTCCTCCTCTATATATATATATATATATTATTATTATTAGTATATATGTCTGCTCTTCCT